GCTCAGGTGATGAAAATATGCTTGCCAGTATGTTTTTGAGGCTCACAAGTATGTTGCATATTTAATTTTTTTGTGACTGCAAAGCGGTTGTTTGCAAATTCCTTTATTTACCGGGTGAGGAAGGAGGACAGTTAGTGACCGTGGCGAGGTCTTCAGTTAAATGTAGCCACCTTTTTTTCATGGCGTTGCTCCTCTACGTAATGCAAGCTCGGTCGTTGTCCGGGGGCACACGTTACCAAGGGGCACATAATCTGTTGGGGAATAGGCAGATTAAGAAAATTCAGAGATCGGAACATATAACACGCCTTCTAGCAGTAGAAAGGGAGCAGCGCGTCGCATATGCCTAAGATCTACGCACCCAATACTTTTGTTATAATGTCTGCTACTGCATTGTAGAGGGAAATTTTACTTACCTAAATGTGCTTTTACCTTAAAATGATGTATGCTGTCCTTCCGCTTAGTGTTTGCCGTGGCTCTTATGGAAGAAGCTCGTTCATGGAGCAAATGGTTTATGCTCAACAGTTCGTGTTCCAGGGCCAACTTGCTTTTTTAATCTCTACTTCGACTGAGGACGTTTGTGCCCGGAACAGTGTAAAGGAATTTTTTATGTGCTCCTGCCTTTTAACTCTCATCGTGCCTCGAAGCCACAGCGACTCTAGTGCTTTAATAGCCCTTCCCGCTCCTTTATCGCAACTGCTGTCTCTATACCATAAAACAGCAATGACCTGACAGGCAATGTACAAGCATATGTTTTTTTATGGGAGTAGCAGTGCAATGAGTTAGTTGCCTTGTACTGTAAAGCTCTTTGTACCGTAAGTTCGCAATCACGGCGTAAAGTTTCTGCTTTAAATTGCTATTTCCGTTGAGGACAGAATTCATCCTACTCTGCTTCGATGCAACCAGTCAAGAAATCATTGCAGTTTTAGTGTGATTATGTTTGAGCGTATGTAATGCTGTCTGATGCGTCTCCCTTGTTCCATATGACAACTCACTTAAAATCAGCGCAGGATGTAAATATAAAATAACAAAATTTGATCTTGTCGTCTTGACCCAAATTTCACAGGAATTGCAATTTTGTAGTTCATAAAGCTTTAGATAAATACCGTTATACTGACTTATTGACAAGAAGAATTGGCCGTTAACATGAATGTTGATACGTCAGGTTTGAGATGCGGGTTTCCGCAAGTAGTAATGAACAGGCAATGCTGATAGTGTCTTGTGTAAATGGCCTTTCGAACTTTCTCACTAGAAAAACCGATTGAAGAAAATCTAAAGAAGTTGTGGGAAAAGCTGAGTTCTGAGTTTAGAGGTTAACGAGGAAACAATTTAGACTGTTCAGTGATACCGGTATAAGTAAAGCATTATACGCTTATTCATGAAGTATCTTATGTAGGTATATCAACGGCGGTTGAAGATTCGCTTCAAATTCCATTCTCTTCGACGAAGCACGACGACTAGAGTTATGAAACGCCGGTATTGGCGTTGCAAGTCAGTCAGCTAGCGGGTTTTTGACTTGAAATCTTCGCCAAAACGTTACGATGCTAGAAATCATGGTTTGGTTCTCGTTAGCGATTCTCTTAGAAGAGTTTCATATGTATCACACGACATTTGAAGTACCTTTACCGCGTCAGAATGCAGTTTTGCTGGTGACTCAATCTTAGCCTGAATTCTTGAAGATGGCGCACTAGCTCTTGGAAATATTGCTCACAGATGATTGTAGAAAAATTTTAGACTTAGCTCGCATTGAATAAGTGTCTCCTTTTTACGCTTCAGTGGTTACTCGAGAAGAAGAGGACCTTTCATTGAAGGAACTGGCACTGAACCGAGGTAAATATAAGAAATTGTTGAGCCAACTTAAAACCTTTCTTCCAGCCATACGGTTCAAGCAGATTTGTCTCAGACGATGTTGCTGTAGACCTGAAATTCATGTGACACTTTAACGTTGAGCTACTGAACGGAAACCAGACAAAAATGTTTATGCAGTACAGTCTCGATTACCTTCCTTAAACGGGACTGGAGGATGGTCAGACAACGCGCAAAACTAAATTTATTCATCAATTGCGAAGAAAGAACACCAAATTAAAAAATGTCACAAAGACTGACGGTATTTAATTTAATACGAACTTTCTAAACTCAGCCATGGCCGGTCCCAAGCCCGGATGACAAAGGAGGAGGGTTGGAGACCGTGACAAGTCTCCGTAAAATTCAGCCACATGCGACTCATGGTATTGACGCCTTCGAAAATTATACCGGCTCGGTCGTCGCCCGGGTTACCAAGGGCCGC